AAATTTGTGAGGTTTAAGTCAATATTTCATAGTTGCTTTTTAGAGTTAATACATACATTTTTCATTATATAATAGGTTAATTTTTCAATCTATTTCTAAAACAAGAAATTCTTTCAATATATCTTTATAGTTTGAACTAGTTTTTAATATGTCATTTTGATCAAAATTTTCGATCAATTTTTAGAAATTAATTTTCACATTAATAGATATAAATCACTTGTACCAAATACAAAGATAATTTTATCAAATCATATGCTACGCACAAATTACATGCTTAATTGACTTAATTTAACTAGGAATTTTAACTAAAAGGATAATTTAATTAACAAATTAAAAAAGTGGCCTATTATATAAGGATGAGCGAGGATATTAACCTTTGCTTTCTATTTGATTCCCACATTTTTGTTTTATAGCAAACCAATATATCTTAGTGTCACAAGAAAATAGGAGTCAAGTCGATATCTCCCATGACATAAAATTAATGTGACAAAGATTTTATAGATTTAATTAAATGCTTGGTCGGTAGATCGGTTAAGATACGGAGAATTAGTATGTGACTTATAAAAATAACAATCAACAAACTAAACAAGATGGAGTGCAAATAGTGAAAGGCGTTGGAGGAAGAGTAGATAGTGTTAGCAAGACACGGATCGAGTGGTAGATAGATGGACGATCAAGGTCTCGAGCAAATGAAGTTTTAGATGTTGTTTGATGTATTAATGAAAGAGTTTTGATAGAGATTGCTCGGAGGTTTTATTGTTAATGATCGGAAAGTTAAAATTTCCCTCACAAAAATGTGAGGTCGGTATTTATTGTAAAACAAGAATAGTTCTTGACTATTAAGATCATACCATGTCATTTATGTTTGTACGGTTAGATTTGAATTGAAAAAATTAAATTTTTTTGGACTAAACTCGTTTCAAGTTGTTAATAAAATATATAAAAAAGTAAGATTTGGGGCTTTTTTTTTTAACGAACCATATTTCAAACCAATTTTCCAACTACATTTAAATGACAAGTCAATGATATTAGCCCTAATTTGTGTCGATTTTCGCAACCAAATATCCCATATTGAGTGAGACCTATCTTTGGTCTAATCTATTTATTGTATAGTTTAGACTCATTCTAAAATATAAAAAAATAACATGGATCAAGTATATAATAAAATTAACTAAATTACTTAATTAATGTTAGCATATGCATTATCCACCATAATAAAGATGAGAGATTGATTTAGAACCCCTCTTTCTATTTGGGTCCCACAACTTAGGGTTTCGAAGTTGCCATTTTCTAGCTGCTATCCATTCAATTTCGAGATCCTTTGGAAGTTACCAAGTTCGTGGGGATTATAAGATTTTCCTAGCAAGAATTGCTATATGTTAGGTTCCCACACCTTATGTTGAATGAGGTACATTCTTAGTTCAATTTATTTACTACATAGTTTGAATCCATATCAAAAAAAAAAAAAAAGAAAAAAAAAAAAACCCCATGAATAAGTACGTAATAAGATTAACTATTCTCAATTAATTTTAAAGAAAAATAAAATATATACAATTTCTACGTCAAAATTCAAGAAGTGCATGTCAAGAAAATTGACTCTTTGGATATGTTTGCAGGAAGAATTGAGTAACGGAAGGATGGAATTGAGGGAAGTGGAAGAGAAAAGAGGGAAAATGATGGATGACTAATCATCTATTTAGTCGTTTGGCTAATAAAAGAGAAAAAAATGATAAAAGTCAATTAATTTAAATTGAAAGTATTGAACATTATAAAAGAAGAGAAGGATACTAGCCAATTCATCCAAATTAGAAGATTTTAAATTATAAGTGAGAAAGGATCGGAGGAATCCTTCCAATCCCTTCTTAGATCATGATGCTTTTTAGAAAACAAAATATATATTCAATTTTTAGATTCGAGTCTTTATATACTTTTAAATTTTTTTGAATAGATATATCCGTCTTGTTGTCCGATTGAACAACGAGAATTAATATGAGTTTTGGAATTTGAGATATCCTGGAATAATATATATATATATATATATCCTTTCTATCTTATACATCCTTCTTTTAATTTCTTTTGAGAAACAGAATATTAAGGTCCGTTTATCATCAAAGAAAAGATTGGAGGAACATGAAAATGGGAAATAAAAGGATGGATACGAGAAATGATGAATATTACTCCTTTCAACTAGTTTGGCTAGCAAGAAAATAGAAGAATAGAACTTGATCTCTTTAAATTAGAAGAATTGAAAATTAGAAATGAAGAAAGATTGGAAAGATCCTTTCAATTACTTATATGTTTAAGTCAACCTTCGTATAAATAACTCATTTCATAAACAAATTAAGGATCCCAAGATAGTTTATTGAATTTTGATGCTTTATTTCATTTCAATTTTTTGTTCTCTGCCAACTAATAAGTTTTGCATGAAATTTGCAAAACTAAGATCATCCAACTAGCTACTAGCTGTTAAGGTATTTAATTATGTCTATTGATTTAATATTGGAAATCGTTTTCTTTATTCCTTGTCCTGTCCCGCTACATACTCTGGCATGAATACTTCAAGTTGTAATCAAGTTTACTTGCCCCCATTAATATACTAATCTGTCATTAGATCAAAGCAAGCTTACACTTAGTGGATGTTGCATCCCAAGTACGCATGGTACAGTACCCTAAGATTTTTATACCTTTCACCTTTAGATTTAGAAAAATAATTAGTACGGATGTTCCCGTATCGAAATACTATATCTGTATTGTCCTAATTAATATAAAAACAAAATTCATTGCTATTTTTCAGAAAATAATAATAATAATAATAATTGCTATCCACTTGGTTTCCATATTTTTTGAATTTTACAAAATTTGTGAGTTTTAAGTTACTATTTTATAGTTGCTTTTTAAGATTAATACTTTCACTTGTTCTCATGTAATAGACTAATTTTTCAATCTGTTCCAAAAACAAGAAACGCCTCCAATCTGTTTTTATATATTTTTGAGCCGATTTCTAATCTATCATTATAATTAGAATTTTCGATCAATTTTCAGAAATTAATCTTTATATTAGAAGATATAAATCACTTATGTCAAATAATAAAGACAATTTTATCAAATTATATACCATATGCAAATCACATGCTTAATTGACTTAATTTAGCTAGGAATTTTAACTAAAATGATGGATTAGAAACCACCTAAAAAGATGAGGACATATTAGAAATGCTTTTTTTTTTTTTCTCACAGAGATAGATTTAAAAATTTGTCTATTATACAAGGATAAGTGAGGATATTAACCCTTGCTTTATATTTGATTCCCACACTTTTTTTTTAAGTAAACCCAACATATATTAGTGTCATAAGAAAATAGTAGTCAAGCTTATATCTCCCTTGACATAAAATTAATATGACTCGCGTAGATCGAAGGATTTTTGAGAATTAATTAAACGATTTCTCGGTAGATCGGTCAAGATATAAAGAGTTAGTATGCGAATTGTAAAAATAACAATCAACAAGCCAAATAAGATGGAATGTAAATAGTGAAAGGGATTGGAGATTGAGTAAACGATCCTAGCAAGACATAGATCGAGTGGCGGATAGATAGAAGATCAAGGTCTTAAGCACATAGATTTTTGGATATTATTTGGTGTGTTATTGAAATAGTTTTTATAGAGATTGTTTGGAGGTTTTTTTGTTAATGACCAAAAAATTAAAATTTCCCTCACAATAGTGTGAGGTCGGTAGTTATAGTAAAACAAGAATAGTTCTTGATTATTAAGATCGGATTCTATCATTTATGTCTAGACGATCGATTTGAATTGAAAAAAATTAGATTATTTTGAATTAAATTATTTTAACTCATTAACAAAATATATATAAAAAGTAATATTTCGGGGTTTTTTTTAACAAACCCTATTTCAAACCAATTTTTCAATTACAAATATTGGTCTTATCAGAATACTCTTGTCTATTTTTGCAACCCAATATCCCATACTGAGTGAGACCTATCTTTGGTCCAATCTATTTATTATGTATTTTGAACTCAAGCTAAAATGTTAAAAAATAATAATAAAATTAACTAAATTAGTTAATTAATATTAGGAAAAAAAAAAAAATCAAGCATATACGCTGTCCCGTAATAAAGACTAGAGATTGACTTAGAACTCCTCTCTCAGTTTGGTTCCCACACCCTAGGGTTTTGAAGTTGCCATTTTCCAGCTGCTATCCATTCAGTTTCCAGATCCTTTGGAAGTTACAAAGTTCGTGGGGATTACAAGATTTTCGTAGGCAAGAATTGCTATACGTTAGGTTCCCACGCCTTTCGGAAGTTTCAAGATTTTACCAAAACTTGACAGTAATTAAGCATTCATCGTCACCATCACTAACATTCAACGATAGCCCATGAAAACGAGATGTTCCCTTTATTATTGCCATTACTTGTTGCAAGTAATGCCAATGAGAGAGTACCTACAAAACACTATCTTCAGTCTTCAAGAAAATGTTTGTGTTGATGGAAACTTGCTTAGAAAGGGCATAATTCCTCCCTTTTTAAACGATAATGGTCTGGTTTTTTAATAAGCCCATTCATTTAAGCTTAATTGGGCCACAATATATTAAGTGTTTAATTTAGCATTTTTGGACTATTAAATAATGAAACAATTTTCGACCTATTATATATATGAATTGGAGCTAGCCCAACATTGTGTTTTTTGGATAATTTTATAGTATAATAGTCCTTTTTTTTTTTTTTAAATAAATCCAGGGTTGTTAAAAAGATTTATTTAATTCTTTAATCTATCGAGTTTAAATTTTAAGATCAACATTTATATAAATTTATTAAAATTTTTTAAATGCAGTGATATAAAGGGTATATTTTTAAAATCGCCTCAAAGGAAAAAATTAATTTAAATTAATGTATAAATTGATTTCAGAATATTGTTATTGTCGGAAAAAAATTAATAAAATAGATTAATTTTTAATTAGATCAGTGAAAGTGATGTAAAGTCGACTCATCTCTTCAGCCTCTGCATCTGGCGGACTAGGCGGAAGTTGTACTCTATGTCTGGTCCCAATCCATTGACACAAGCAAAGTCCTGAAGGACCTCTTTTTTTATTCACACAAAACAGAGATTGAGATATTCTAAATGGATGGGGAGCCCCATTCTCATCATCTTCGGGTTATTCATTAGTATAATTTGTTAAATTTATTTGAATATATCAAATTGATGTGAAATATGTATTTTTGAAAAATCATCTAAAAAAAATAATTTCAATTGAGTAAAATTTAGTCCTTTTTTTTTTAGTTAAAAGGTAAGATATCGTAGAAGTTCAATTCATTTACAAGTGAAATTTTAATAAGATATATTGTGTTTTATTATTATTATTAAGGCTTACAAATCTTATAATTAATTCGGTATATCACGCCCTCTTCTATAACAACTTTAGAATATAGTTTCTTACGAAACTGTTCTGAAGAAAATAGTCGTGAAGGAAAAGTGTTTAAAAGGCAGAATTTGGGGCTTAACTTTTCTTGCAGTGTTTAGGCATATCACGATTTTGTCAAGTTGGTGCACCTAAATTGATGCACAAGGTTAAACGGCTAAGCTATTTGCGATTCACTACCCCTTTATATTTTGTATTTTGTTGGTAATTAAAACCAACATGTTATGCCCCCAAGGAAAGCATTCACGAGAGATTACTTGCTCACACAATCAACGACTAATCCAATTGGAGGCAGACTCCAAGGATTAAAATAATAATAATAATAAAAAGTCTCTCCCACTACTTAAACATATATCCAATTTTGCCCTTTTTTTGTTTAAAGTTTCCAGCTTAATCCCTACAAATTTCAAGTTTATTCTAGTCTTTGCTCGATCCTAAAAGATATTCTCACACATTTAACCTTCTCTCCTCTTTATCCCTAAAAACTGACACATATGCTTTTTGTGTTCTTTTTAGAAGGATTTGTATAGTTTGATCTCTAAACCAAATTGCCCACTTTCATAATCGGTTAATATTTAAATGTGAATCTCTATCGATCGCATTCGCATCAACAAAAAAGGATTTATTACCCGCTTGGCAAAAAAAAAAAAAAAGAAGGGTAAACAAAACGAAACAGGTGGTAGCTTTAGGAAAGAGAAGATTCAATCTGGCTCGTGTGTAGACAGAACATCTTGCAAAGACAAACGTACAGTGGGAGACACGGTTTGTTGGTGGAAGGGCCAATTTCTAGAGATTTTTGTGGCTAAAATACCCTAACGCATAGCTTTCACAAAGACACGCGCAAGGCAGGTCACAGATTTGCCAATGGGCTCTCTGTTTTTTGTCTGAGGGGTTACACTACAACGTCGCCTTCTATAGTAAGCTGCTTTCTTTTTCTGCTCTCTCTCTCTCTCTTTTCCAAAATTGACCCCAAAAGTGTGCTTCTTCTTCTTCTTTCTTTTTTTTTTTTTTTTTTTTATAAATTCCTAATTGACACAAGTTAAATTAACTTGGTTTATTTTGTCAGCCTTGATTGTTTTAATTAGAAATGTACATCCAGTCCAGTTCTGATAATAAAGGAAAAAGAATCAATCTATTTCTCGAAATTGCTATTATGACGGAAAAAAAAATAAAAAAAAATCTCTGCACAATATTGACATAGGAAATCGAGGAGATTTTGGAAAAAAAAAGGTTGGGACGCGTATTCCAAAAACGAGAGAAATAAAATGGACAAGAATAGATGCCACAAAAGCGTTTGATATTATATCTATGGAAAAATATCATAAATTCAAATAAATAATAAAATTTTGTCAAAAAAATACTTTTTTTTTTTTGCTATAAAAATTAACATATAATCTATTAAATATGTAACCAGATAAGTATTTACCAGCTTCCCTCTTTCGGGACGAGGGGCTTACACGTGGGTGGAGATAAGTTGCCCTTAAAGAGTCATGGCTGCACGCTTAAGGAACTAACGTACCGACGTGGACCCAACTTTTATTGCATCATCGTCGTTATCTTCGTTACACGTGTGTTTTGGATACGGCAGCCTCTTTAATCAGAAACCACGTCTTCGTCTTTCAGCCCAAGTGGTACAGTGGGGTCAAGTTTCTTGGAAAAGTAAAACCATGAATAAGCTGATTTGATTGATCTCTCACTAAATTTTAAAGCCCTTCGATTATTGACGGTGAGGTTTGGCAGATAGATAATAAAATTACTTTCTCAGATGCACAAATAAGTTATGTAAGTGAAATTAAAATATTATTATAATTTTTTACTAACTTGTAAATTTTAATATCCATTTTTTATTGACAACATATTTTAAAAGTAATGAAAGATGTAGAATTTAGTGGGAATAACATGGAATCGATCACTGAGGTCGATTTGTTCAAATAAGAAATTCATTTCAAAGTACATGCATTGGGCTTCAAGTTCAAGAAGGCCAGTAGAGAAGAGAAGCTAGCCCAAGTGCATACAAAATGTGTAAGCCCAAGCCCATATCTTGATTTACGTATTGGTTTATGTTTTGTTTGAGGGTTAAATTTTAAAATATTTAAAAAATAATTATCAATACTTACTTTACATACCCATTATAAAAAGAGAGACATACAAAAAATTACGTTATAAAAATATTTTATATAGGCTTAATTTTTTTAAAAAATTGTTTTTATTTCTATCTTCTATTTGTGTTTATTTCTTTCTTATCCAATAAGTATTATTCATTATTACTATATTATTTCTCTTGCATTATTACTTACCTTCACGTATATTTTTTTTAAGTAATACTTTGTTATTATTATTATTTTTTTTTACAGTTATTCTTTAAAGACTTTTTCTTGCTAACATATTAATGTTGTGTGATTAGTTGGCTTTTAGGCTGTGAATAACTTAACTTATCAGTCAGGCATTATTGCCTACCTTCACATATCCCCATCCAAGCAACACTTATTTTAGTATTTTTTTTTTTTTTTAAAGACTGTTTTTCTCGTTATTGGTTACTGTTTTTCAATTTTTGTTTTAATATTAATGGCATCTTCGACCTGATTTCCATGCATCTAAATTATTATTATTATTTTGTTCAATGAACTCTTAACTAGCTATCTGCATACATTTTCATACGCTAGTTTATTTTTATTTATTTTTTTTTGCAGTTCAACTATTTTTTACTATTTTTCTCTAATTTAATAAATTGTATTGAATTATTTATATTTTATTAAATTTATATATTTGATTTTAAAATTTATATAAAATTTGATAATTTATAGTAAAATTATTCATTTTAATTTTCCAAAACACATAAAACAAAATTTGACTACACCAAAATAAAAGTCTGCACTGATTTGTTTATAGGATTAGTTAGAAATTGAAATAATAATTTGATAATATGATTAAAATAAACATAATTAGATAGTTAAATACAAATATGATAATAGATAATCTAATCATTTTTTAAACTGTTTGATCTTGATTACAAATTTAGTGAGCATTTATGTTTATAAACTCGTTTTTTTTTTCCCCAACCTTCCTTAAGATTCAAATCCTAAAGGATAAATGCGGAGAAAAAACCTTTTTCTAACTAGGCTACCCTCCAAAGATTTTTTTTGTTCTTGGTAATGTATAAGAAGTGCAGGAACTCGAGTGGTTTTACCACCGATCCTTTTATGTTTGTGGTCTTCTTTACAATTAGGAGTGGGCTGGAGAGCCCCGAGGCAACTCCGGCTTTAAGATTAAAGTTAGATAGTAGGCCAGGATATAAGGGAAAAGACGACGAAAACGCAACCATAACGAAAGCAAGAATATCATGGCTGGCAAGTGGCAAGCAAAATTTTGTCGTCATCATCAACGTAAAAAGGAGCAATCCAAACGCATGGATATACATTTTCCAAATCCGTGAATATAGAAAGCATGCAATGTGGTTAATTTCAATTGCAATTTGCACATGACAATGAGTATTAGAGAGGCACTCAAATTCTTACTAAAGAAAGCAACAAAGGTAACTAATTATAGGCAATTGATGCAGCCCAGCCCACTTAAATGATCAATATCTCATCTATATGCAGATTTATGCAACCCCATCCATTCATCAATTGCCTATAATTAGTTACCTTACATATGTGTATGGTATAAATCATCGTTTTTTTCCTTGGAAGTCCAACAAAACTGGAAAGAGATCATAAGATGTAAGGGAAACGAGACTAGACTTAATTAGAGACGTATCAACTTAAGCTGACTAAGAAATCAATCTAGACAAATGCCATTATTTATGTACCCAAAATGGAAATCAATACAGAAGATGAAAACTCTACAATGTTGATTTAAATTTACAGAACACAACTTAAAAAAGTTTTTGTTTATTAATTAGGTTAAGGATGCAGAGGCACTCAAATCCTTACTAAAGAAAGCAACAAAGGTAACTAATTATAGGAAATTGATGCAGCCCAGCCCATTTAAACGATCAATATCTCATCTATATGTATATTCATGCAACCCCATTCATTCGTCAATGGATTGGTACATGACAACTCTACATGTGTATGGTATAAATCATCGTCTTTTTCCTTGGAAGTCCAACAAAACTGGAAAGAGATCGTAAGATGGAAGGGAGATGAGACTAGACTTAATTAAACAGGCCTATCAACTTATGCTGACCAAGAAATCAATCTAGACAAATACCATTAGTTATGTACCCAAAATGGAAATCAATACAGAAGCTGAAAACTCTACAATGTTGATTTAAATTTACAGAACAAAACTTAAAAAGAGTTTTTATTTATTAATTAGGCGAAGGATGCAGGAGGCCTATGAAACACGGCCTGCACCCACATCACTCTCTTATTTTTCCATGTTCTTGCACTATTAACGAAAAGGTCATGCACAACATTGCTTAGGCTGAATTAAGATAACGTTTTTTTTTTTTTAGCATGCTAAAAGAAGAAATTATTAAGCTGAGATGGGGTTTGTGACTCTTCAAGATCATGGGATGGGGAATGTGCGTGTCTGCCTTCATAGGTTGTGATAACCATCCTTGGATCCTCAGCTAATCTCTCCACACGCTTCTTGACGCGACAACTATCTTGCGTACAACGATAGTAGCTCCTGCTTGCAAAATCAAGAAAATTGTCACCGAGTTGAACGCAATCAGTAGCAAATTTAACTGTGCAGGCCCAAAAAAAAAAAAAATGCTTGTAGAGGAGCAAAGTTTATGGTATTATGTAGGTACAATTTTCCTACCATATAATCTCTACTCATCACTTTTTACTGATCACGACATAGAAAGAAAGTGTGAGTGATGTGACTGGTTTTGCTATGCTTGTGCTTGGTTTGAATTTGAAAGACATGCTCCAAAAGATAATTATAGCCTTGCATGTGACCCTTCTTCCAAATTGGACTGTTCCTTGAGATAAATACTGTTAGGTAGTGATACAAAAATACACCTTCTTTATCTGGGAAACATGCAGAAAGTTGCCTGACTATGGAAGAATCTACGGGTATGTATGTACACATTACTAGCTTCGCTACGTACGTCCATGTTCCACAATCATAATGATCAAGAAAACTTTATGCAATATGGCAGTACCTTTTGAGCATGAAAAGTTAGTGAAAATTCAATCAAGGCACATGGCAACCCAAAGATTAAGGATTAGGGAGGGGAGTTCAAGATATACAAGCAGCATCAAGCATACTAGAGAGAGATAAAAAAAAAAAAAAAAAAAAGGGTCTTTGTCAACTTCTAGAAGTAAAAAATGAGATACTGTACCTAAAGAAATATATAACACTATCTAACTAGATGCATACAGCTTCAAAACGAAGCACCAGGATAGAATCTTAAAACAAGCAAGATTTCCACCCGAACTCTTACTTTTGAAGCCACACATTTACGAAGGCAAAGTTTTGAGCCTACCAAATTGTTTGTTCATGCTCTCCGATCACAACATGGGAAGAGGTGAGGAGATTCAATGCCAGTAGTAGAGTGAACATAATTTCACCCCTAATCTGCTGATTTTAAAATTTCAAAGTTAGAATTATGGTTCAGGAAAAACTTTATACTTTGGAAAAGGAAACGAGTTCGATATATTTTTGTTCCTCTCAAAACTTTTTATGTTTGGATTTATTCTATGTAATCATAAGATTGTAAATGGGTTTCTTCTAAGCTACATAATAGGATTTATGTTTGTCATATAAATAGATTTATTTACATTTAAAAATATTTTTTATTTATTAAATATAATGTTTTTATAGGGAACTTCTCCAATAAAAAAAGCCTCAAACCAGAAGTTGATGGCCAAAGTCAGCTTCCACTTCAACAAAAAATGAACATTTGACATTCACACAACTCTTGACATTAATAACTGATTGGCACAATTTATGAAAAACAGCGGTATAATGAAATGAAATGAGAAAAGTTAAAACCCATATACTCAATTGATAAAGTTGTCAAAGGTTGGTGTACTAATATTCCATATACAATGTATGATCCATTTTCTTATATATATATATAGAGTTACCTATACCATTCTGTCTATAAAGACGCAAAAACGCAAGAATAAAAGGCGTTTGGAGTATAATGAAAACTGAGATTGCAGGAATTCTTACTGCCCAATACATGGGAATCTCTTAGACCACCAAGTGTTGGACAACATTTATTATTTCACAAATATATAAGGAAATAAAAGTTAATTTCCTTTTAAATAAAATATTATGACAAAACAAAAGATTTTCATTGACTAAAAACTAGTTAAAAACCCTAACCTAAGTTAGGGATGATGAGTACATTCAGTATTACGGAGCGACAATTTCTTTGGAAATGAGGACTCCTGCCTTTTGACTTTGTCTACATAATGCCATTCCAAGGTGCTCTCAAGAAATTATACATCCATGCAGTGCAAGAAACAAAATGGGGAAAGTGCTCATACATGATTGTGCAAGATATAGAAATTCAAAACCGAAATCATTGCTGTAGAATTTCCCTCTGCGTTGCAAGAAAATATGGTATGTGGGATCATCACTACAGAAAAGCCCTATGTACGCACGGCTAAACATGCTCTTCTAGAAGTGTTCGTGTGAAATTGTCTCCTATCCTCTCTAACCACCCCGTCGCAATGTTTCCCATCATAAAGCTAGAAATTTTGCATCTCCAGTAATCTGACTATCTACATGTAGGCGGTAAATTGAATGGGCATCTCTTTGTTTTGGATAAAAAATATTACTGTATAACTCATCTACATACTGAATTGAAACTGGTGATGTGGAGATGAGACATATATGAACATAAACACATTGTAATAAGGATGTATATATTACAGTACGCTTCACTGACTCAGATGCTTAATTCTCATACGGTAACTGGTTATATATGGATCTCTTCATACCTTTTCATATTCCTTTAAAGTATATAACATGAAACAACAATACAATGTGATGAGAATGTTGGCTCGAGATGCGTCTATTAAGGTATCCTCTAACTTCTAGAATTTCTGCTTAAATTGGATCTTCTACCTTCCTTAGCATACTCCATTATAATTGATCAGTTGTTGCACATTTTTGGTTACTTTGTTTTAGATTTCAGTCTTTAAAAAAGCTAATAATTACTTCTTTTTGGCCCCTTCCTTCAATTATTTTTATTGTCAATTAATGATGCATCAATATGATTGATATTCTCACATACAATTTATCCATAAAAATCTCCTGGCCAAGCCTGTAAAGCCTAACCACAATGATAACAGCAATAGCAATGATGATGATGAAAGAGGGAGAGAGAGAGAGAGAGAGAGGAACATAACACATGTGTATGTGGGATACAACAAAAGCAATAGCTAAAATCCAAACTGATATATATCAACTTTATTAGATGATAGTATATACTGATCTTTAATTTGAAAATCTAACCTGGGATGCTGTGTGTTCTTTACCACTTTCTGGCCGTACTTCCTCCATTTGTAACCATCATCCAGCACATCCACATCACTCATAGTCTTGAAACAAAACCTAGGCTCCCTCACCTTCCTCCTTGCTTTAATCTTCTTCATCTTTATTGTTGATAACCCCAGATGATCTTCTCCATAACCACTTCTTTTGCTGCTCAAGCACTGATTTACCTCTCCCCATGCCCTGAAAAGTGAAAACAATTAAGACCCTAGTTCATTAGAGAAAGACTAGTGCCTGCATGAATATACCTACTTTGGTTGGGTGAAACAAAGTTCTGTGAATTGAACCATCTAGCTATGCATGGCTTAAACATCCGTTCTTCTTGTCTTTTTAACATTTAAATTGTACAGTATGTGATCCATTAAAAGTACTAAACAAGGATGTTAAATGATAATCCTAGACCTAGAGTATATTCATGCAGTATATTTTCTTCTTTAAACAGTTTTAAAGAGGGGGAAGCCAAAAAAAAAGAAAAAAAAAGAAGGTAAAATTATATCCATTTAAAAGGAGTTTTGCATGATTGTCTTCTCAAAAGCGTGATCTTTTTACCAGAGATTTGCACTAGATCTTTGCAAGGAAAGAAGATGGGGTCCTCCCAAATCAGAAGCAATAGTGTCTTCTCTTTGCTTGTGGGGGGCAGATGAGAGTAGTAAGGTTTCAGTGAGGTTGGTGGTAGAAGGTGCATCAGCTGGAAGTGAAGGAGGTATTATGAAGCCTTTGAGAGACTGGTGGCAACTACCCAATTGAGGATAGTTCAAGTGAGGAGGAAGAGAAAAGAAACCCATTTGTGTAGGCATCTCTTGATCTTCAAACAAGGGCTGCTGGTTTAGTGTGGCTTGGGAGGCAGCTGCCATCTCTCTCTCTCTCTCTCTCTCTCTCTCTCTCTCTCTCTCTCTCTCTGTGTTGAAGTCAGAACAGCAACAACTAATAACTATACCTTCGGTTCCTTAATTTTATAGGAGAAAAATATGGTAAGGGAGATCTCTAGATGATAACAGGTGCAAGCAGCCTATATTAAAAGAACAAAAACAAGGAGGGTTTCTCTCTCAAAAACTCCTATAACCAACATGTGAGAGAGGATTATCAAGATAAGAACCTGAGTGCCTATAAATATGACCAGCCACTTTCCCTTTTAGCTCCCTTTTGCCTCTTATCTCTATGTTTGTGAAAGAAACTTTAAAAATTTTTTAGCTCCTCTCATGGGAACTTTTTATGTAGTTGAGGAAGGGGGATAGAAAGAAAATATAAAAAGGGGAGAAGCCTGTGACTGCGATATACAGTATAACATTAAAAAGTGCATAGACTTTTTACGAACTGAAGTTGTTTCTCACTTTTTAAGTGATTTTGTGCAAGACATTTACTGTTTGCCCTCAAAAGAATTGGAAATTTGTGTCCCTAGCTGGTTAATGGAATTTCCTGTTATCTCTAGAGCTTGGGGGTCAACAATACAGGACAAAATACTTGAATCCAACCTGAAGGAACTTAATTAATATTGGACATACCAAAACTAAACGGACAATATCCTTTATATTAAAAGGAAAAGTGGCCGTTTAATTTTCTTTGCCACACAAATCTTTCCATGGTGTCTGTCACAAAGGATTACAAAATAAAAAGGTATGGGTGCAAGAGGTGAAGAGAAGAAGTATAAAAAACATATGAACCCAAGAGAAAATTATCAGTCACCATAAATAATTAGAAAGTGAAGAGGAGATGATACATAAATGATAGTATAACTAGCTATCACTATCTAGGGTTTGTTTTGTTAAATTGTTTTCGCTAGGGGTTTTCTTTCTTTTGGGCACCAAAAAGAAATATCAGGAGCAATGATGATGAATCTTAGGTGCATATCTCTCACTCTGAATCGACGGTGAAGTTATCATCACGATTGATGAGAAGAGGCCCTATTTGACTTTTTGCAGAGAAAAAATAAAAGTTCCTCAGCTTTCTCATTTGTCATTCCTTTTAGCTATTTCACCTTTTATTTATTTTATGTGTGTTATGTATACTTACTTCCTCCAACCCCACATCTACCCACCATTTCTCAAATTCCAAACCAACCTATTATGTTGTTATGATCCCTTGAATTAAACACAATAATCCTTGGTTACTTTCTTATGTTTTTCCAAGTTTAAAACCCTTTGTGGGTCGCAATTCTATTGCTATCATAATTTCTTCTTCATCTTTTTTTCTTTATTTTTTCATCAATCCAGGCCATGATCAGATTGTATTTCTTTAACTTACAAATTAATTATGTCCTCGCTGTACTTGGGCCAATGTGGTTGAACTTGGATTAAATGATTAACTTCATTTTAGTAGAAAATAATAATGAGTGAAGGAGATCTAAGACACAATTATATGATGGTTAAAAATCGTAGGCAACTAGAAATAACTAACAAAAACTGGTCTAGGTATAGGGACTTACAATAATGCAATTATTATGAACCATGCAAATTCAAGCAATTGATTTGGTAATAATTCATTTGAAATTAACCTTATTGTGGCATATAATAGTTTAATCGGTAAAATTATATTTGATATTATTCTCGAATATGGAGAAGTGATTGGATCGTTAAGAAAAGAAGATTGAAATAATCCATTTTTTTTAAAAAAAATAATTAAAAAAATATAGATCAAAGAACTTCCATCGCAGTTACCGAAAATAGATTAAGAAATTAATTTTGATCGTAGTTAAATTTGCAATAACTATGCTGTTTTAGATAAATAAATATTAATTGCGTAATCATTTTTTTTATAACTCCATCCTACCTTCTAGATCAATGTATAGCACTTTTGCAAAACAAAAACAAAAGAATGAGGTATGGAATTCAATAATTATCTTCTTCAATCCATTGCTAATCTAAAACAATAATTTTATTATGACAAAATAATAAAATGACATGCAGGTTCAATTTTGGTTTATTTTTATTTTTATTTTTTGTTATTAGGTTTGTTCCAATAAGTTCCACATGTTTCATTGCAATATATTGGAACATGTCATTTAAAGTAGTAAGATTTAGGATACGATTTGGGAATAAATAACTGATGCAATTTTGAGCATGATAAAAAATAAGCAATGCAATTTTAAGATAAATTACAGTCATTTTCTCAAAAAAATTATGAATAACAATATGAAATTTTAATGTCAGATGCTGGCTAGTAATGTACACCTGCTAGTGATGTGATTATCAAGCACACAAAAATGACATGGATTATATATGAAATTTGTCTTGTTTTTAAGATATCAGTAAAAAAAAGTTATTTGGTATTAAAAACTAAATTCATCAGTAATTTGGATGATATTTAAAACATAAGAATTTATTAAAAAAATTTATGACGTAATGGATTCGATAAAACATGTAAGGAATATTAATTATAAACACCCCTTTAAATCATAATTAAGAATGGATCAAGTCCTATTCCTCACTGGCTGTGACCAAAACACACATATGATTTATATAGTAAAAACAAGAGCATGTATATTATAAATGTTAATAAATGAGAGAATGTATTATTCTTTTTCTCAAATATGGTGAGTGTATCTGTTGAAATACGAATGATGTGCTTAATGTTAATAATAACAATAATAATAATAAAAAAAAAAGTGCCCTTGGTGCTAGAGAAAATTATATAAGAGAGGGGGTTATTCTTGCGTGGACATGATGTGACCATGAGGTCACGATGCTACGTACCATTGAGAAATAATATGTTGCATCATCTACAGGGACTGTTAAAATAATACTTTTATATGTTTGGTTCTCACTCTCCCTTTTGGGACCTAACGAAGTTAGAGATAGGGGATGGGGTGGCAAACTACATCATTTCTTTTTGTCTCTCTTTATAGGTGGCCAGTATGCCACTCACATTCGTTCCCTGTTTTCTTTCTTTTCCTTTTGTTTTTTGTACAAATTAAAATAATAATAATTGCTGCTTTGCTTTGATCCCCTTCATTCTTGCCTTGGAAAAAGGAATTTACTTCCTTCCATCGGTTCCCATTTTGTTCTTCATGTGCTCCACCAATCATACCTTTCATTCTGTTTAATGGCGCTTAACATCTCTATGATACCATTTATTCACCAAATACAACACAATGGTTCCAATTTGAATAATTAAATACCATGCGGAAATTCATTTTTTTTTTTTTGCTAATTTTATTTATCTACTCTATATAATATTTAAAATTTTCAATCAGTTTTTTTAAATAACAAGTTTGCTGCACCAAATGATTAGCTAATATTATAGTGATCATGTACGTAGGTCTTGTAAATAAAAAAATAGGTTAATAATATCGAAGAAAAAATAGATAATCCCAGATGCCTTGATGAAACACAATTGATAATGGTACACTTATAATTTTTTTTTTTAATCTTAGTCTTTTCATGAAAAGAGGGAAATCATCCTCTAAATAAGCAATCGCCATTTCATCCCTATTCTTTTATTAAGAAAAAGAAGAAGAAAACACTCTTCAAATTAAATTCTACCAAACATGCAAGAACGCAAAGCCTTTGGCCAAAATTAATAACTAGTCATCTTAGTGCTTGATTAATTCACTTGCTCAGCGTCTTACACATCAACCAAGAACGTTTTTGGAGAAACATCAAAATCCAAGCAAATCATATTCAAAAGAGGAGTAGAAATAAAGAGTCTTTATTTAATTATACTCTTGAAGAGATTAGTTATTTTTTCTTATTTATATATATATTTTAAAATATTTTTTTGGTAAAAAATTGAAGTAGTTTAATTAAAGTTTATTGTATAAAAAATTGTCTAAATTTAATTCTAAAAAAATATAAATAAAAAATACCGATATGTCAATGAATAATTTTTAAATATATATGAAAAGTAAAAAGTTAGAACAAGATAGAGTCACAGCCTTATTTTTACATGAAAACAAAGAAATGCAGTTTGAAAACGAGTTTTTCAAAAGAAAAGGCAGTGTGATTCCATTTTGGTCAAGAAAAAGCAGAAGTAAGGTGTAAGACCTGGATGATATGGGAGGCGAAGGTGTAAGGTGATTCCATTTTGTTCAACCGAAAATCCAAATTCATAAACCTCGATGATATGGGAAGGTGCAAGACACCCATAAAAGCCAGCTTATGTGTGAAAGTGAATCATATATTTAAACACATAGTTAAATATATCCGAGGAATCAAATCCCATGTAATTCAACAATTTAAAGGAGTTTGATGTTTAGTCTCCGACGGTTTCGTTAATTATTTTGAAGACAACAACTAACAATTTAGCTTCCTAACTCTGTATACAAGGTTCTTCAGATTAAACCTAAGGTATGAAGAAAAAAAGAAAACTTTTTTCTTTTTTTAGTGCCAATCGTCTATTTCTCATAATGGGCTATTCAACCTTTGATTTTTCTTTCTTTCCTTTTTTTTTTTTCCTATCTATTTTAGTACTTGAAATCATATGAGACATAATTTTACCGATATATCCGACGAGAGTCGCCACGTAGCATTTTTTCGTGTCACGGTGGCGAGTCAATTCTAAGAACGTTAGTAATTTTTACTCTCGAGTGACTATAAACACTTAAATAAAAAAATCAAAAATCAAAAATAAAAAATAAAAACTTAGGTGCTAAAAAAAAAAAAATCAATGATTTGGCACCGAAAATGTCATTTTCTCAAAAAATTTATTTTACTTTTCTCATTCCAAATGTCTCTCTCATTGTCTTATTCTGATTTATCCCTTATTTATTATAAATAAATTTCATATATTTCTTTTACTTCCATAATCTTTATATATATGTGATTTCTCGATACTTCTTTTCAAATATTGAAAGCTATATAATTTTAAATTTCAAGAATATCGACGAGTTACATTCATGCATATCTTTTTGTTATTATGC